TGCTTCCTTTTTGCTCCAAGGAAGGCATCACTATCATGAAGCAATGTTTACCTCTACAACCCGTTTAATTTGTTTGATTGGCTGATATTCAGCGGTCACAGATTGTGCTGGTAACAGCATTTTTCCCACTCTTGTTGAGCCATTGATTTTATCAAGTAGGAGGTGGTTGATAGAATCGTTGATTTCCTTGCCATGAGATTGTCTCCTTTCGTTCGCTTGGCTTCTAAATTCTTGGCCAAATGGACATGGACCTTCAGCTCTTCTGGAAGCTTTCCACTAAAACTTATATGAGTCTTCTACGACATATCTGACGGCGTGGGTTTTCTCTATGCTCAACTACAGTATACCTTTTGTGTTTTAAGAACCGATTACATTGGCCCCGTAGCCGTTATCATCTACTTCATCGTGGCTACCGTCTTCAACAAGTTCTTCATGTCACCGGTAGCCAAGGTGGTGTTCCAGCAAGAAAGAAAGGAGGGAAATTTCAGGTAGTGCACAACGAACATGAGTTTTTGTTCCGTCTTTGATGCCTATGCCACTGTTTAGGTTCAAGCACGTGGCGATTCGAAACAACGCCGAAGCGATTGCGTTTTACAAAGCCGCGTCGTTGGAGAAATGCCTGGCTGACCAGGAACTGAAAAGCCTGTTAAGCACTCAGCAGAAGCTGATGATTTTTCAATACCCTTTGATCTGTAAGCGCGCTGATGTTTCACTCGTGACTCTTTCGACTATCACTTACTTTCGCTTTTAGTTATCATCAACTTTTTTGACTATTTCGGTGCCTACCTTAGTTATATGATTGTCGGAGTGACGATCTTCTACCTCCATATCTATGATCATGCTTCAACCCTTGAACTCACCGGAATAATAAGTAAGGTATGCGAAACAAAATTTCACGTCATCGGTTGGTCATTTTCTGCGTTTAAAGCCAATCTTTTGTCCCACTTCTTCTAACTCCAAAATCCCTGGTTGAACTTCATTGCTTATTACTATACGCTTCGACGTACCTGTTTAACGTTTACCCGTTTCGTCTGCCAAGCGAGCTGCTGAAAAGGAATGAAGACAAACTTTAGCATGACCTTAGTAGCTAACTTTATTTCAGTCGCACTCTATTAAACATAACATCAGCGGCATAAACATCATTTATGCTCGAACTCTGTACCAGTGGTTAGACGGTTGAGGTACTCTACCTAAATCCTGGTTGTTATAGGAGGATCTCCCTCAGCAATTCATCTGACGACTTGTGCATGATCCTCGCTTTGTAATGGTTCGTGTACAGCGTTGCTTTGGGCGACTATTAGATCGGTTTCCGTTTCGTCATGAAGTCTACATATTGATAAACAGTTGAAAGTCCGATGCACATATGTCTTCATCGAATCGGCGAAGGTTCTGTCCTTGGAGCTGTTTACTTTTTCTAAATATTCTATCAGGCGGTTTCAACATCTTAAGTCATTAACTCATTTCAAGGGATGCTAGGTCCATGCCTCGAAATGCGCCGGCAGTAAACTGCTGCACCATACGCTGTACCTGGCGCCATGATCCATGAATCTTTCAAACGCGTGTCTTTCCAACATTTTCCCAATGGTTTCCTGAACATCCAGCTGTTAGCTGTTCCAGTTTGCACAGGTCGTTAAGATTTGCAGCCACCCGTTGCTATTTTTAACTGCGATGGCCAGATATTGCCTTAGGGATGGCGTCTCTAGTTCCAAAGTGTCTATGGTGCTACGAAGCCATCTTCCTTCTTCTCTACGCAAAACATATAATTTCTCTGTATCCGCTTTTCGAAGTACCATTCCGCTAGACAAGGGCATCCCTAGTGGCAACATCCCAATGTACTTGAATATTTGGAGAGCCTTGTACCTGTCTTCTCCTCAATTGAAAAGTACCGGCAAGCCATTCTTCGTTTTGCATGTACTCACCGTCCTTATGCTTTGTGTGTATGTCTACGTGCCAAAACATACAGTACTTGAGTTGGAATACTTGACCAAGCGAGATTTTTCGTTTGTTATTTGAACGTTGCAAACAAATGCATCACATACAGGCTTTAGCATAGTAATATTTTTTTTACTAACATTACAAATGTTTAACAGTCATTCTATGATATGTTGTTCCTCTGCACTTATTCCCTGTGATTTCAGAACTCATTCATCTTCATGTACCTTATCAATTCATTTTCGAGGCTCATCGACTTGGCACAACAAGTCAGTCAGATGGCCGGTACAACTCACAGGTAAAAGCATAACTTGTTGACTTTATAAATTAAAGCTCATTGTAAACGGTAAAATAAATGTTCTTGACGAATTTTTGGTATGGCTTCAGTTCTGCCATCTGTCGATGACTCACACCGCTTTTAATGTTATGCTGGTATTTGTAACGTTAGCAGAAAGAGCCGAGTTTCCGTGCAGTAGGCTGCTAATGGATTAAATTAGGGTGGAGGGAAGAACAGAGGGCGCAGTGGCCTTACGAATTAATAATTTGTTCTTCATATTATAGGTGCCGAGTTCAAAGCTAAAGGTGACATAAGGTCTTACCTACTGCTATTTCCCTTGAACTAGCAATTCACCTTATTTGTTTCACCGCAACCAGCCAAAAACTGAGTAGAAACAAACAATATGGACAGCCTTGCGTTCTGGCGTAGCCCTGCATCACTACTGTGCATGATTGACGCGTGCATGGCTGCAATAAGGATTTTACCGACCTGATCACTGACCGAACTACAGTACACTTTTGTGTCATCCGTAAATAAAATGGAAGGTACATCATCAAAAGCAGAAGCTGAATCTGTTGTTCCATTGAGTTCAAAATTGGAAAGATTTTTACAGGATGGCATGCAAAATTTTTTATGCAGGTGAGGGCGCAGAGGCACAGTGGTGACGTGGGCATCAAACTCCAGAGGTGCATGGTTCGAATCTCGAGAATTGACTCGCTTGGTTTAAACCACTATTTCCACTACGCATAGATCCCGCGTTGCTTTGGTGCAACCGGGTGAGAAACGGGTGGCAAATTATTGAATTGTGAATGACAGGGATAGCATTGCATTTTGGCGTGATCATAGCAGAAATAGATGTATGGCCATGTCGTGCGATGCGAGCGCCGCTTGTGTCTGCGATTCGGCTGGTCCTGTCAGATAGCTGACTATACACTGCAGTAATCATCACAGAGTGTAACTCTCGAAGAACTGATACCAAAACAAACAAGTGATAGAGTAAGAAAATTATAATTTATTAAAATCAATACTGACTGCATCACAGGTTTTTACCATGATGTTGTAAGCCTGTTCATTGTTTTGTTCCCAGAGAGTTTAATTCCGTACCATTGCCCTTGTTCACACATTTGTTAAGTCGAATTACGAGGGCTTCGTTCAGTTTCAGGCTGATAATGGGTTTTGAAAAATTCCATTCATCTGGCACCATATTATTCTGCGCTATTCGTGTACCTTATGTGCAAAAATTTTAATATAATGTTGTTTTTTGCAGGGTGGTCCAGTTTTACGAAACCTTAAGGGAAATTAATTTGACAGTCGATTGGTCCTCAAAGGAATCTGATCACGGGTATGTATACCTCGTGCTCTTGTATGTTTCTTGATGATGTCTTTTCACAGCTCCTCTTCGGATTCTGTAACGAGAGATCAGATCAACGGTGATTCTGACGCGGATGATAGAAAGCAGCTCCTTACCACTGAATCGAATCAGGACATCGCGTTTCGATTGCAAAACCTTTCCTATCGTCAACCTCAAACAAACGTGCTCCTCTTGAAAGGTATTTTTGGTGTGTTACCCTCTCGTTGCGAACCAATAGGGTATTAAGCGAATATGTCTTTCCCCAGAAACCTTAAGATTGTAGTTATGCTAGGAAAAATATGTAATCGATGGAGGAAATCTTTCGAGTCTAGGAATATATAAATATGCACACCACCTACCGTCGCTGTTACTCATTGTTCTCTTCTCTATGTGCGTTTGCAACACTTGACTGTCCGTTGTACATGGATCCCACTCCTGAATACCACAATCTTTCTTT